CTTTCAAATTTTCGCGAATTTCTGAAAAATAAAAATTCGCTGGAACCTTTAAATATGATTTTTAGAATTAAGTCACCTAAGGGTATCTTTAGGCAAAATATGAGCGATTTGTCAAATGGGAGGTTGACCGGCGTTTCTCGGTCCTAACAGTCAGCCATTCTTAACTCCTGTCGAAACAAGGTATCCGCTGACCAGTATCACATGATCATATCGGGGGTTCAACTTAAGAGCTCATCGAGATCACGTGTTGTTTTTTAAATATATATATATACATATATATATATACGACAACTTTCCGTGGTACGATCCAAGGAGTTCAGCAGTGCCCATTCATATCATTCAGAGCGAAAGAAATCACCGAGAAAGTACATCGTCTGCATGTTTAGAATCACAGCACAAGTTATTTTCAGGGGCTTTGGATGAGATTTAACGGATAGCAAAGAATTGCATGGTAAGATGTTCTGTCAGCTGATGCCATCACAAACCTAAATGCTTGAGAATCTCAAAAAGAACCGATAAGGCGACAGCTGACAACTAGGCTGAGATTGAACTAGGCTGAGAAATTGTCAACAATTTAACTGGGATTAGAACCCTCCTTTGAAAGCACAAAATCTAATGGACAGACATATTTTACATTTTTCCTTTGTAAATCCTTTTGGTCTGTCATATAAGGATTGGTGAACTGAAACTGAAAGGTAACTATAAGTGCTTAGCGGACCCAGAATTTCAATCAACACATGAAAACTACACGGTTCTTTTCGAGAACTTTTACCACCCATACCGTAATAAATATCATACCTATAACTCTCGCCTTTTTTTAGTCCCGAAGGCAGTACTTTTCCATCAGAAAAGCCGTTCAAGGACGGGTACAGAAAATTCAGAAAGAGGGGGTTACAGAAATTGCGGCAAACCGCAAGGCATTCCCACACCCTTCGACCGAAAACATACAAACAATGAAAATGGGGGAACTTAAAATTAAACGCGCTCCGGATCTGTTCGGGGATAGATAGCAAGACCTTAGGCTCAATTGTTGTTTATTCATCAACCTTGCACCGTGAATACATTGAAAGTGATCTTTGGGCTAGAGTTTGGCTGTCGTTTGACGAATAAATAAATTTCCGTTTGAGAATCAAACGTTAAATATACTTTCCCGAAAACGATAACAATCTACAAGCAGGTTTTAAAATACGAGTCGAAGCCCTGGTATATTATAATCCCAAGAATTCGATACATTTTCGATAACTTGAGTGGTTTTGTAATGTTGATGAAAACACTCCGCTACTTTGCTTGATATGTAAGTCCTTCGGAAGTA